CTTTGTTCCTCGTAGGAACAAGGGACCATCATTCCTTGTGCAATAGGGTGCAATTGTGCTTCTTGATAATCTCAGGTTGGGGCCTCTCCAGTCGAGGGCCTCGCCCAATACGACGAGGATAGGAGCTGCGAGATTCTTCCCATTGGTGTCTCCGTGGAGGATATCGTGAACGGTTCTCACATCATTATGGAGACACGGTACGTGAGTCAGGTCTTCAGTGTCTTCTGGGGGAGAGATACCGGTGGGTCTTCTCCAACATTCTGATCCTTTCTCCCTGCATGAAAATCGAGTAATTGGTCTTATTGATCACCGCGAACAGGGCCTGGGTTATGGGGTCAGCATTGGCGGGCACCAGGATTTACTGGTACACTGTGGGCTCCTCGACCTGTTGTTGAGGGTTATCGAGCGGATGCTCGCAGGTGGAGGAAGAAGAAGTCCTCCAGTCCCTACTGTTGTACTTGTGACCACCAATGTTGTAGTTGTTGTTATTGTTGCCAATTTCGGCAAAGTGAACATTCTCATCACCGTTGTTGAGTTGATCGACCATGACGATAAGAAAGTTGAAATCTTGCTTTGGTCTTGTTTAGAGGAAGACGAGGAAGTAGCTACCCACATACGGAACCACTGATCGTACCCGATTAGAATGGACCATTGATGGCCCATGAACTAGAACTGAACAGTGTTTAAAGGTGAAGTGGGGGGGGGGGGTACCTGCAAGATGCTCTGATGCCAAAGTAAGTATTTGAACAATAATGCAAGCAGAGAGTATGAGTGTATAGTAGATAATAGTACCTGACCCTCTAGTGAAAGAGGGTATCTATAGCCCCCAGTGCTGGGCCAAGGCCTTCATTATGGGTTGAAGATTCAAGCCCATAACAAATGTCTACCAGGATTCAAGCGTGTGAAGTGGAACAACGCGTTCCCACGATCCTGCTTCAACTGCCTCGCATTCCTCGAACAGTGGATGACCGATTCTTCATAGATGGTAGGAGGTCCCGCATAATCGGAGGTTATTTGGCCACATGCTCATGGAGGGCACATGAGGGAGATGTTCCCCAGCGGTTATGATTTGGGCCCTATCATTAGGCCTTCTTCGAGGGAGCGTCAGACTAAGCCATGCCCTTCAGTAGGCCAAATGCAAACTTAGTCCAAAACATTATCTAAAAAATATTATTTAAAAAAATTTTAAATTATCAAAATAAAATTAAAATAGTGACTATTCTCTTTGTTCTTAAAGTATGTAAGGTGAAAATGTTTATTATTTATTAACAACATATGACAATAAGTGATAGAGTTTGATATATATATATATATATATATATATATATATATATATATATATATATATATATATATATATATATATATATATATATATATATATATATATATATATATATATATATATATATATATATATATATATATATATATATATATAGGAAATCTGATAAAGGAGGAGGGATATATGAATATCAAGTGTATGTGGTATTGGAACCCCAAGTATAGTTTTAGCCGTGAACTTAGACCCCTAAACTGTGATAATGATATTCTTAAGTTGGCCGAGGATATTAAGGGTTTTGATTTGGTGGATGTGTATGTTGAGCACTCAATATAAGTGACTCCTGTTGAGGATAATGTTGATGGCTGTCCAAACTATGTTGATGATGAAGCTGACTCTGATGTTGAAGTTGGAAGTGAACCTATTGAGGCTGAAGTTGAAGTTGGAAGTGAACCTATTGAGGCTGAAGTTGGAAGTAAACCTTTTTAGGCTGAAGTTGAAGTTGGAAGTAAACTGTTGGAGTGGATGACGGTGATGATGATGATGATGATGAAGACTATATTGTAAGTAGGGGTGAGATAAGTAGTTCTAGTCATGAGGCTAACGAGCTTAATACTTAAAGTGGGAATGTTGAAGAGCATGTGGATTTAGATTGGACAATTTTCATTCATCATGATGATGCTGGTGATAAGGCTATAAATTCTGAGGATGATCCTGATTCTGATGTGTTGCATACACCTAATGAGAGTATAGTGATGAGGAACAAGAGAAGTTTCCTTATTTTAAAAGTGACTCCTCAAAGTTTAAGCTAGGTATGGTGTTTAGTAATAAAGAAAAGGTTCATGAGGTTGTGGCAGGACTATGCTTTAAAGATAAACAAAAATGTTTACATTAAGAAAAATGATGCAAAGAGGATGGTGATGAAATGCATAAAAGGCTGTAATTTTCACATGAGGGTTAGTAAAAGGTTTGGGAATAAATTTTGGAAATTATTTAGTTTAGTTGATGAACACAATTGTTCTAGAACTCTAAATAACAGGCAAGCAAAGACTATATATTTGCTAAGTAGTTTGGTCATATTCTAACACACAACCCTGATAAGAAGCCATCAGGATTGATTTCTCAAGCTATTGATAGATGGGGAGTGAAGTTGTTACATGATAAGGCATATAGAGCTAAAAGAAAGGATATGGATTTGTTACAAGGTGTTGTTATGGATCAATTCAACCATTTGAGAAGCTATGCCCCAGAGTTACTGAAATCTAACCCTAATAGCAGTGTTGTGATCAGATGTTCTCCTTCAAAGGAAGGCCATGTGTTTGAAAGGATTTATGTATGTCTAGAGGCTTGTAAATATGGTTTTGTAAATTATTGTAGGCCATTGATTGGGTTGGATGTCTTCTTCTTAAAGGGTGATTTTGGAGGGCAATTGATGGCTGCTGTTGGGAGAGATGGGAACAATAAGATTTTTCCTATTGCTTATGCAGTTGTGAAAGCTGAGACAAATGGGTTATGTGGAGTGCATCAATAGCAAAAACTGTACTAGAATGAGAAAGGGAAATGGCAAAGATGAAGAGTATGAAACCATCTGCATGGAAGGAAATTATGGATATCCCTGCACATTATTGGAGTCGATCTCACTTCAAAATATATTCCAAATATGATCTTCAGGTAAACAACATGTGTGAGGATTTTAATAGGGCTATTCTAAAATACAGGGATAAGCCAATCATCACTTTATTGGAAGGGATTAAGCATTACCTTACTAAGAGTATAACTAAGCAAAAGGAAGTCATGAGTAACTACAGTTGTGACATATGCCCTAGAATACAACTGATGCTTGAAAAGAACAAGAATAATGCATATCATTGGACTCCTACATGACATGGTGATGATGACGTGGCAATATATGGTGTGACTAATGGAAGAGACACATATTTTGTTAATCTAAAGAAACAGACTCATGCATGTAGGAAATGGAATTTAACTGGCATCCCTTGCAGTCATTCTATCACATGTATGTGGAAAATCAAGAGAAAACCTGAAGAATATGTTTCTCAATATTACATGTATCAATTAAACACTAACTGGTTTATGTTAATGGCAATCTGACTAGTTTATGTTTAATTACAATCTGACTTGCAGGTAGAGTAATTTCAAGAACATTTACTCACACATTATTTGCCTACTAATGGTCCACAAATGTGCCTTTGGATGAGTAGTCCATTATGAATCCACCAGTTATGAGAAGGGTTATAGGTCGTCCAAAGAAAATGAGAAACAAGACTAACGATGAACCAAAAAAATCTGCATGTCCTTCCTAGAAGATTGGGAACTGTCACTTGTCATGAGTGTGGAGCAATGGATCACAACAAAAGAAGCTGTGAGGTAAAGAGGGCTACTGAAAGAGTCATTCCAAAAGGTGGAAATAACAAGAAGTCTAAAAAAGGTAGCCAAGGAAAGAAGAAAAAGACAACTCAAGTTGAGATTGAAAGCTCATCACAAGCCCTTCCACCTACACAACCATCTCAGTAGTAGTTTTATATAAATATTTATTGTTAGTTTAAGTATCTTTTATAATGTAATGCTCAAGTACTATGAGCAATGATCAAGTATCTTTTGTTAGTTTGGGTACCTTTTGGTTAACCAATAATGAACAAATACCATGGTTAAGTTGTAATGTTATTATGGTATTATGATTAACGAACAAGTTTTATGGTTAACTCGTGTTGTTGTTTTGGTACATTTTGTTATCTATCATGAAAGCATTAATGAATTGGCGGTAGGATATAAGAAACTGTTATCTGTTATCTATAACTTCAAATAAACTTGATTTGTTATCTGTAGGATATAACAAACCATTCAAGATGACCTATAATGAACATATAAATCTTGATACATTTGGAACAACATTGATATAAATGATACAAAAAGGGACAAAATGATATAACATTCATATAAATCTTGATATAACAAATTGAAATTACATTTGGAACAACATTGATATAACTGATACAATTGCAACAAGCTATTATACAACATTCATATAAATCTTGATATAACAAACTGAAATTACATTTGGAACAACATTGATATAACTGATACAATTGGAATAAGATATTATACAACATTCATATAAATATTGATATAACAAACTGAAATTACATTTGGAACAACAATGATATTACATTAACTGATACATTTAGAATAAACTGAGACAAAACATTAAACAACATTTGACATCCT